CCATGGCGAAAAATGAGGAGAAAAATTAAAATTTTACTTTAGAAGAATGAAGAATAAGTTCCGGTGACGCTAATCAATGATATTTTTCTGTCGATTTCGATTTGAATTCCTTTTTCTCACTTTGGGAATTTTTTTTTCTCTCTTTCTTTGGCTGAGTGTTCTCTGTTTTCTTGCATGGAAATGAACAATTTTCTTGTATTTTTTCTTATAAAACCGTTCACAAAAGAGATGAGGGACCTAGGTGCAATTTTGACACTTTCTAAGGTCATTTTTTTTTGTGCAAAGAAACTCAAAATATCATTTTGCTTCTCCCTTAAGTGTTGGCCAGCCATATCCTTTCTTTTCATGTGTCCTAATCTCAGCCCTCCATCCATTACTCATCTTAAATCTCAACCATTCATTCTTAATAACTATCTCATTTCGGTTCAGTTTAATTCTTATCCGGTGCGCGTTTTACTTGCGTTCTTCAGACAGCTGGTCAACTTGGTTAACTTTATTCAACCTTAACTAACTTTTTAAGAGTGGCCTATTGGTCAACAAATTTTGACTCGGTCAATCCTAATCGATCGTTCATTCTTCGTTCTAATTGTTTCTAAAACCTTAGAATTGATGTTTTTCAATCATTTTTCATTTCTTAAACTTAATATTCATGTGTTTATCCTCTTATGGGAATAACACAACGCTCTGTGTCTCTTTCTTGATTACAGTCTGAAATTCAGTAACTGCATCATAGTTCAAAATTTTTTTGACTTTTAGATTATACTTTGCTATTCAATATTAATATCAACAAATACTTATCATAAAAGTATTCATATTTATAATATAGAGAATTTCAAGAAATTTCATCTTATACAATAATTTATTCGATAAATGTTTTGGTCATGACAAGTCAAAATCATTTCAGATAAAAACTATGTAGAACATACAGTTTCTAATGCAGATCTAACGACTAAAAAATATGAAACTACTAACAGCCTATTTTCTCGAGTCCTACCAGAAAAGCTCTCTTAAACTAATATCTATAAGAGTGTCTCCAAATGAACTCTTTAAATTTTAGTTAAAATGGCTAAGTAGCTATTTTAGCTTACAATTTTTATGTGATTCACTACAAACATACTCCTTATTTTAACTAAATATAAATTATTTTAATATTTGTTGATTTTAAAATATAAATAATTTTATTGAATTTATAAAAAAAAAAAATCTTTGCATTTATTACTGTTGAAAGAGTAAAATAATACCAAAAAAAAAAAAATGGAATGACTGGCCTCTACATGCTAGCTATATTTAACTAGTGTGGAAGACATTTTTAAAAATAGCTAACCATTTAACTAATAGTTGGAGTAGAAAAAAATTAAAAAAAAATCTAAGTCATTAACCATTTTGACTAAAAAATGAAGGGCATGTTCTTTTGTCCAAAAAACTCAAAAAAAGACAACTCGAGTTTCAATTTTATTCAAGTTCACGTTTTTTTAAGTTTCAATTTTATTCAACTTTACTCAACTTTATTCAAATTATAACTTCAACTCAAGTTATAACTCAAATTCAACTCAAAAACTACACTTAAACTACACTCTAAAAGAACAACTCCGAAATGACTAGTATGATTAGGGTTGCTCTAATCCTAATATACTAATTAAATCCTCGTGTATTTGTAGTGTGTGTATATATAAGCTCTTTGTCTATAGTTAACATGAAATTCATTAAGTTTTGCAATTTTTTTTTTCTTAATTGTGTTTTCTGTACGCTTTCTTGGTCGATCAGATCATATCCTATTTATATATAAACGTAGAAAGACACAAAGCAAAATGGTATGACTCTAAGAGAGAGCGTGGACGTGGAGTGTACCAAAAGGCAAGGCACGACAACCCAGGAAAGAAATTTATCGTCAAACCTAAAACAACTCTTCTCCTACCACAAATTTATAATTACGTTTCTCCTACGGTACTAATTATTATGTTATTGTGTATGAATTCCACGAGTCTTTTTACTGAAATTTCCTGGCTTGGAGGCTTTTGAGCTTTTTATTCATTGTCATTGACTAATCACTGCTATTATTCCACCGTCTCCATCGGGGGTGAGAAGAAAAAGAAAAAGAAAAAGAAAAAGAAAAAGAAAAAAAAGAGCCCAAGAAGAGTGATATTTCCCTCGTGTGACGTGCATTTTTTGGATTTTGCTTGTTGCGTTTTCAAAGGGGAGTTTGAATATTTGTTCATCCCATCTTCCATTTTCTATCATATAAAACGTGTGCATGTTTGATATAGGTACAAGAAATGTCAACTTTTCAATCTATGAGATCTTTCGTCTCTTTCCAATTATATTTCTTCTCTTTCAGGACATATTAATTATCAACCCCTTTTATGAGTTTTCAAGTTGCATATGATCCATATAAATTTTTGCACGTTATACTTTAGAGAATAGTAAATATATAGGAAGCCCAACTAACTCGATTACATATAGTTCTATATTTTTGTTACTTTTTTTTTTTTTTTTTTTTTTTTTTTTAATTTCAACTTGAATTGATAACAGCAATAAATATATATATATATATATATATATATAGTTATGCAATTTATCTCTCTCACCTTTTAGTATTTTTTCCCCTATTTTCTCACCTGTTTTTGTTGATATATAAAAGGGTTATTTTGATAAACACCTCTGAAAATAGTATCATTAAGAATTTTTGGATTTCAATATTGATCTATTGAATTTTACCCTTTCAGAATAAGTAATTTAATAAATTATTATCGATAATTTGACAGATGTCGCCGGCGGCAGGTCTCTGATCGCCCGTAGCGGGCGTAATTTAACAAATTATTATTTAAAATTTAATAAATTATTATTTATAATTTAACAGATTATTATCAAAAGGATGACTTATTACAACAAAAGGGCTGAACTCTAAAAGAATGTGTTTAAGAGTTAGTTTTTATCATTTTCTCTATATAAAATTATACAATCTTTTCCTAATGTCCAAATCCAATGTTTCGTCCCGTGACACAAATATGCTTCGTTTATAGACCCAAGTCACGCTTTTACATTTCTTTTTGGGGTTGTGGTTTGATAGGGGATGAGTATATACGTCTATTCATATTCGGCTGAAAACGGTTTTTGATCCCATTTGGGGCATTTTGGAGTGATTGGGTCAAAAATAAATGGGTAATGCAGAAATAAAACCCTTCTCTTACCATTGGTAGCCCAAAAAAGTCTAAAACACAATTCTATAACTTTTCCGTTTGTTAAAGGACAAACTTTCCCATAGTCTAAGTAGTTAAGAAAGCATGTAAGTGCACCACAACATCTGGTCGTGTCAAAAAAGCCACCAAAAGCCTTCTTTGGCGAAACATAACCTTTTGCCTTCAATAATGCGCACTAGGGGTGAAAAAAAATCCCACAACCCAACGAATATGTTTAACCAACCCAACCCAACTCGACGCATATTAATCCGAACCCCATCAACTTAATCAAGAGATTAACTTAATTTGACTATTAATTTAGTGGGTTTAAGTTGAGTTTTTCTTAACCCAAATTAACCCGAATCCACCTAATTTATTTATCTATAAAAGTAAATATTTTCTTACCTCATAATATATAACTTTTGTCTTATATTTACATTATTTACTTGACAACCTATTATGTTTTGTGTTGTATGAATTTTTATTATTGCTTGTTTGTTGGTTTACAACTTATATATCTGAACTTGTTTTGCATATATTTTGTTTTTATATTAATTTATAACTTATGTGTTAATTTTAGAGCTTTATAAGGTTAATATTATTATGAAAGCTAGCTTTTTTTTTATACAGTATTTTAGGTTAAATGATTAGCTTTATTTATCTATTGCCCGATCCCGATCAACCCATCAAATCCACCCAAATTTTAATTGGGTGGGTTAATTTTGAACTTTGGATTGATTGGGTGAGTTAAATTTGAAATCAACCTACCCAAACTTAATTAGGTGGGTTGAAGAATCTCAAAAACCCACCCAACCTACCCGATGTTCACCCCATTATGCATCAATGAATAACTTCATACGATGTCAAAGCACTAGAGTATTACCATTATCATATTAGACAAATTTTAATACAAATGCTAATACTAATTGTATATTTGACACTAAAATTGTGATAATAGGATATTTAACATGTTGTGTTGCAATGCATGATACTATTTGAATTGTTAAATATACTTTTTTATAATCATTAAATTTTAAAAGTTGTAAAAGTAAACTTTTAATTTTAAATTAATTTAGAAAAGTAAAAGTTGTAAAGATTAAATGAAAAAGTAACCATATCACCAATAGGACTCAAGTGCCAAATTTTTCATATGCTATATTTGGTGAAAAATTAGCTAAAAAATATAGCATATGAAAAATTTGGCACAATAAATAGCATTATTTAGAGATGATTTTTTTTTTAAAATTAATACATTAATTATATCATTGCATTAGAGACGTTTTTATAAAATATTCAAGAAGAAAAAAGGGAGATTTTAATGTGGGTAAATTAAAAAGAGTATTATTTAGGGATACGAATAAGAAATAGTTTTAAATAAGAAAAAAAAATTATTTTCAGGATATGTATGAGAAAATAGTATCCGTCGCTCTCATTTCCTTTTCTTCTTTATTTTTGGCGGATCAACCTTGATGAGGCTACGTAAGTGATGTTTTGGCAAATCCTCAGGTTGAAGTGTTGTAATTAGTAAGTATGGCTTTTGTTTTAAAAGTGGGAATTAATTGCATGTAACGATAAATTGATGCGAGTAAAGGATATTTGAGTGAGCGGTTTTTTTTTTCTTTATTTTTTTTTGACCTTTCGACACGACCAAATTGTACTATTATATATGCAAAGAGCTTAGAGCTAGCAATGGCGTGTTATTAACATGACTCTTTACTCTTTACCAGTACGAGACTGAAAAACCAAACGAATGAGGAGAAGAATCCTTACATATACTTGCACCATAGAGAAAGCAAGTCCTGCAAAGCAAATTAGGTACTCGGCAAGATTTAAGAAGTTCTGAGTTTTATCATCTATTATTTCTTCCAGTTGGATGACAAGGACACTCAAATACAAGCAATTCCTACTAGCTTATTTCGTCCTCTGGTTTATTATTGTAAGATAGAAACTTGATTAAGACTAAATATATTATTGCATCACATATATTCTTAATGACAATAGCAAGTATGACGACAGGATAACACTTGTGTTACAGATCAAAAGTAGACACTAACATTACTTGATGTCATAAAATTAGTAGTTTTCATCATCCAAACCACAGCATGCATGAAGTAGGAGATATGCATCATTTTATAGCTAACGCCTAACGAGTAGTCGTCCATGACAACCACTTCCTTGTGACAGCCAAGGGAAGGATTCTGAAAGCAACATCCTCAGCTGTTTCGTAATACAAGTTTCTCCATCTCTTGCAAAACACAAGGGGTCCGATGAGACTTCCGAATCCAACAATAAATCCGATTTCAACGCTTAAGAGATCCCAATCGATCTTTTTCGACTCAGAGTGTGTTGAATGGGACTTGTCATCACCGGAAGGTGGACTCTGATGATCTGCTGGTGTGCAGTTTGTGGTCAAAGGGCAACCGTGCAATCCTCGATTTCCAATAAAAGAATTGGCCGAGAATGTTTGAAACTGAGTTCCAGACGGAATCATCCCGACCAGTTTGTTGAAGGATAGGTTGAGATGCGAGAGGAAATTAAGGCTTGCAAGTGATGTGGGAATTGTGCCACTGAGCTCGTTCCATGAGAGGTCTAATGACTCCAGAGATTGTAATTCGCCAAGGGACCCTGGAATTGGGCCTGAGAATGCATTACTCGACAAGTTGAGAACATAGAGCAATCTAAGAGCTCCAAATTCCTCTGGAATTGGCCCATTGAAATCGTTGCTTGAGAAGTCAATGCAGGTCTCGGCCGTCAGGATTTTCACCAAAAGCGTGTCTTGACCCTTCATGGTAATTGCAGTTGAGACCACATAATTCAAATCTTTCCAAACTGCAATCTGCAGGTGACTGAGCTTTTCATCCGGGGAGGACATCATTGCCTTCCAATTTGTCAAGAAGTTGCGTCCTGGTAGCTGACCGCTGAAACTGTTGTGAGCCAGATCAATTATTTGAAGCTTTGCCCAGCTGGATTCATTGATGTTGGCGTTGTGACATCCGATGCTTCCACGGAACTTGTTGGCTCGCAGAATGAGAACTTGCAAGGAGGATATGTTGTTCAAGAAGCACGGGAATTCGTCAATCAGTTGATTATTGCCCAGGTCCAAAACCTCCAACCCAGTGCAATAGGCCAATGATTTTGGAATTTTTCCTTCCATTGAATTTCCATGGAGATCTAGGGTCCTCAAAACACAACCAGCTGCAAAAGAGTCCGGAATTGCCCCACTTAAATGATTCCCCCGTAGATTTAGTACTATCAGAGACGTACTAGTCATTGTATACATGCATTCAGGTATTTTACCACTCAAGTTATTACTAGAAAAATCAACAAACTTAGCGCTGGTCATTTCGCATATTGATTGGGGTATGACTCCTGTAAGGCCATTGTGTGAAAGGGAGAGGAAAAAGTTGGAAGAAAGGTTTTTACCAATGTCAAATGGAATGGAAGAATGAAGATTATTGCTAGAAAAATCTATATAGTCGGCACTTGGGGGTAGAGTGGGTAGCTTTCCATGGATTTGGTTAGAATTCAGATCAAGAATGTTGAGATACATAGGAGGAGAGTAAGGTTCTTGTATTCCCTCTAGATGATTATGTGAAAGATTCAGAACAGTAAGCCCAAAACTCTCGAACCCCAAATTCCAGACCCAATTTGGTATCGTCCCATGTATTTGGTTGTTTGAAAGATCCAAAGAAGTTAAACTTGAGTGATTCTTCAGGTTTGGAAAGACGTTCAGTCTACAAGAAGCCAGAGATAACGTGCTAAGGCCCTCTGGAAAGGAAGAAGGAGCAGCGGCGTATGCGTCGACGGCCACAGATAAGTTGTTGAATGAAAGGTCAAGCTCAATGAGTTTGACAAGCTCCTTAAGAGTGCTTTCTAGTTGTATGGTGCCGTTGAGATTATTGAAAGGGAGTGATAGATATGAAAGATTTTTGAGTTCAAAGATGGACATTGGAATAGGCCCTTCGAGGTTGTTCCCACCCAAATAGAGATATTGGAGAAGGGAGGGAGACACGTTTGGAAAGTCAGGAAGTTGGCCATGAAATTCATTGTCGGAAAGGTCAATCCTTTCCAATGATGCAGCTTTAAACAGAGATGAGGGGATTAGACCAGTGAATTTGTTAGCGGACAAGTCCAAGTAAACCAACTTGGTGAGCATAAAATTTGGAACTGACCCATTGAACCGGCTTTTGGAAAGGTCAAGAGTGGACAAATTTGCAAGATTATTGATGGATGTTGGGATTCTCCCTGAAAAACTAGTATTACTGAGCTCTAGGTACTGAAGAGAATTGTTTTGGGGAAATTCTGGAAAAGAACCTTGAAGCAATGGATTGAATGATACGTCAACGTACTCCAGTGAAGGTACCTGGAAGATCTCTTGGGGAAATGTTCCGTAGAGCCCGCAATTGCTGAGTTTCAGGGAAGTTAACCGTGGGAAATTTGCAATGAACCTTGGGACTGGAGAAGACAAAGGGTTGCCGTCCAGGCAAAGCGAGGACAAGGAGTGTAGGTTCCGAAGCGAGTGATGAATAGGGCCTGAGAGAGAACAACCGGTCATGGTCAGCACTCGAAGATTTGGGAGTGAGGATGAAAAGACTCGGCCCCATTCCTTCCCAGCGGCAGACATGTCTACAAAGTCAAGATGCAGTTCTTCTAGCTTTGTGAGGTTCTGAAAGGACATGCTCCAGTTTGACTGATGAACTTTCAGCAAAGGAGATCGCGGAAAGACGATCAGCAACGTGGTCGTAAAATCAAGAGTAACCAAGTTTGTGAGGCGCGACAACTCGATCGGGATTTGCCCAACAAAACCAGAGTCTGCCAAATTCAGATGAGTCAAGCTGGTTAGATTACCAAAGCTCGACGGCATCGGAGTGCTGAAGTTGTTAAGAGAGAGATCCAGGGTCTTGAGGTATTGAAATTGGAAGAGACTGGAGTTGTGCGTCAATCCACCGCTGATAAATTTGTTGCTGAGATCAAGACCAACAACACGTCCCTCTTGACAGCGTACGCCGTCCCAAGTGCAGCAATCCGTACTCCGATCCCATGGCAGCGGATCAAGATCGAATGTGAGGGTGTTGTTCAACTGGAGCAGCAAAGATCGCTCGTGGCTCAGACATGATTGGCCTGCTGCTGCTGCTGCTGCTGCTGCTGCTGCTGTTGCTTGCAAGCTGAGCAGTGGTAGTAATATTAATGTTGAGCATATATTGATCATCATCAAGAAATTATATAACCATGAAAAGGCTGGAGGAGTTCTCATCATTGGCGCAATTTTGGAAGGGAGAGAAACAAATACGTAATTCGTTGTTTGATCAGTTATCTATGATCTAGTGAGAATATACGTACATATGTGTATGGACATAGATATTTGCATTTAGTAGCCAAGTCTGACCATTCTTCCTTGAATGCAATAAGTTAACTGCACGGAAAATGCGTTTGCAACAAGTAACAAGACAATTGGCATCGAAAACGATTTGACATTGTTTTCCAATTCAATGAGTCCTTTTTCCAACAGCGTCGAGATAAGATTTATTTTTCTCTTCTTTGGTTGAGAATTCATAATTACCGAAGTCTAAAACTTGTCAAGTTATTGAAATGGACTTTGTGCATCCCCCTCTCCATGTCGTGTTCTTTCTTTAACTCCCGGCATAAGGTGAACTTATTGAAGGACCAACCAAAATTCTAATTTTGAGACGCTATAGCTCTTTATAAAAAAAAAAAAAAAATCTAATTTTGAGACGCTAAAGCTCTTTATAAAAAAAGGGGAGGAAATCAATCTCAATAGCCGTGTTTAGAATTGATCTCGTTATTTTTCACATTTTTCGAGAAAAAAATGAAAACGTTTTTAAAATGGCGTTTGGCGCAATAAAGACAAAAAATGAAAATGAAAATCGTTTTTTATTTCTCTCTCATTTTATACTAAACTAAAAAATCGTTTTCAATTCTGTTTTTTGCCTTTATTGCGCCAAACGTCATTTTGAAAACGTTTTCATTTTTTCTCAAAAAACGTAAAAAATAAAAACGAAATCAATTTTAAACACGGTCAAAATCATTTTAGAACGATTTTCAAACGCGTCTAATACTTCTTATTGAGCAGCTCAATCTGCGCAATGATGAAGAAATTAAAAAGATGAGTCAACTGGTCAAGTCAATGCAAGCTAGCTCGACCCGTACGAAAAATCTAAAATCGTTTAAAAGTCTCCTGATTTGATATAATTTCTGTCCATATATAATAAATACACTTTTGTCACATCAATAATAGCTAGCATGTATACAAGGAAAATTCTATCCTAGTATGAATGAATGAATGACCAGCATTATGAAATATGAATGAATGAATGACCAACTAACATAAGGGATCACTATTTGCTGAGAATATTCATATATATATACATATAACTATACACACACCTGTATAAATAGATTCGTCCTAGCTCTATTATTATCTACTGAGAATACTCTTATATATACATATGCATTACACACAAATATATATGCATTTTTTAGCCAAGAGAAGACTGGCCATGCATTCTTCCTTTAAATTCACCAAGTTAACAAGAATGAAAAATACGTTGGTCCGGCACTTGCTGACTGGCATGACAAGATGAAAAATTCACTAGTCAGGTCAATGCTAATATTGGTACAAGGATAATTCATCGTAATATTCGAAGAAGAAAAATTCAATAAAAATGTTGAGAAGACCAGCATAATATTATTATTAGTGACCGACGACTTAACATTTGAGACCTCATATATATGTGTGAAAGAGAATGAGCAGCATTATTAATGGCACGGGAAGAAGTTGGGTGAGGCCGTGTGGGATCCCGCATTTAATTTTTATTTCTTATTTAGAGGCACATTGTTTTTTTTTTTTTTTGGCTGAATGAGACGTAATATTGAAAAAGCCACAAAAGGCTAGAACTATAAATGGAGGGACAAAGTTCAAAAAACAACGACTGGAATAGTATTCAGAAAAGCCATTGAACGGCTAAAAGACCACCAGGTGGAGCCAAGAGCCACAACGAACCAGTAGGACATCACGCAGGTAATTAGCCCAGTCGAAGGATGCCGGAGTGACTTACTAACCCAACAACGGAAAAAAATCTCCTATGAAGGGTGGAGTGAAAGCAAGTTCCTCTCATTAAACAAGATCTAACCAAACAACATGTTTAAGCCGATAACTGAATTGTAACACCAAACAACAAACCAAATAAGGGTTGGGTGGAGAAACTACTGCCCTTATTACAAATATGGAAACTACAACACAAAAGCTAGGAAACATCAAATAGATCAAGCTAGAAAAATTGAGCCCCCAATGCTGGAAATATGTGAAGAACGGTAGGAGCGGTGCTAGAAAAAGGCTCATGAAGTAGTTCCGAAGATGTGGGCCGTTATAGAATGATATTAGAGCCTGCACCCAGCCAGATGTATAGCTAACGAGGACGTTGGGCCCCCAAAAGGTGGGGTAGTTATGCCAGTCATCAATCCCTTGAGGTAAGAGGTCCAAGAAAAGGTAAGTTGTGAGTCTTACATCGGCTGATTAGGGGTGGCAATTCGTGTCACGTGTCGTGTTCGTGTCGTGTTTTAATCGTTTTTTATAAATTTACAGTCAACCCGAACACGACCCGTGACACGAAATTTTTTAAAAACCGCAACACGAACACGACACGACCACGTTACGAGTTGACACGACACGACCCGAAAATGACCCGTGAACCCGAAATTGACACGAAAATTGTATACTTTTATTTAGGTTTTTACATATTAGAAATAACTTAAAATTCATAACACACTAAATTACAATAACATCCATTGAAATTAAGCAAATAATAATATAAGATTTTGAGTATAACTATCATGATATCACAAGTTCATAATAAAATTAAAAATATGAAATGAAAAATATATGAATTTTTTTGTTTTTTACGAGTTTCGTGTCGTGTTCGGGTTAGGCGGGTCCAACCCGAAATTGAGCCGTGTTTTTCGTGTCAATTTCAGGTCGACCCGATTCTGACCCGAACATCTTTTTTCTCAACCCTAACCCGTAAAATTCGTGTCGTTTTCGAGTCGTGTCGTCGTGTCGTGACCCATATTGCCGGCCCTACGGCTGATAATGGTTATAGATAACTGTTTATAAGGAAAGACACCATCTTTTAATAGTATGAGGTCTTTTAGGGTGAAGCCTAAAAGTAAAACCGTGCATGCTCAAACTTAAAGTGGACAATGTCATCTTCTAATGGTATGAGGTATTTTGGGGTATCAGAGACTGTACTCAGCCAAAAGTATGTCCAACGAGGATGTTGGGCCTCCACAAGAAAGGGTGACTATGATAATCATCAATCCCTTGAGGCAAGAAATCTAAGAAAACTTTACAATCCCATATTGGCTGGGGAAGGATATAGGTAATGATTTATAAAGAATGACATCACCTCTTAATGGTATGAGACCTTTAAAGAGTTTATATTACTCAACCAACAAGAGATTTAGCTATAATATTCAAAACAAGAATAAAAAACTATATTCTAACATAGGACCAATATTACAAGAGTTTATAAACTCACCCTTAAAGAAAAAACTGTTTTAGGCTCCATTGATGATGAAAACTCGTTCCTAAGCTTGAACGATTTGATTAAAATAAGATTCTTACCGAAAAAGAAGAACAAAAAATTTGGATTAATAGACAACCATGGAGAGAAATTGTTAAAAAGGAAGTTTATTGAAAGGGAGTGCTTTCTAGTTGTATGGTGCCGTTGAGATTATTGAAAGGGAGTGATAGATATGAAAGATTTTTGAGTTCAAAGATGGACATTGGAATAGGCCCTTCGAGGTTGTTCCCACCCAAATAGAGATATTGGAGAAGGGAGGGAGACACGTTTGGAAAGTCAGGAAGTTGGCCATGAAATTCATTGTCGGAAAGGTCAATCCTTTCCAATGATGCAGCTTTAAACAGAGATGAGGGGATTAGACCAGTGAATTTGTTAGCGGACAAGTCCAAGTAAACCAACTTGGTGAGCATAAAATTTGGAACTGACCCATTGAACCGGCTTTTGGAAAGGTCAAGAGTGGACAAATTTGCAAGATTATTGATGGATGTTGGGATTCTCCCTGAAAAACTAGTATTACTGAGCTCTAGGTACTGAAGAGAATTGTTTTGGGGAAATTCTGGAAAAGAACCTTGAAGTAATGGATTGAATGATACGTCAACGTACTCCAGTGAAGGTACCCGGAAGATCTCTTGGGGAAATGCTCCGTAGAGGCCACAATTGCTGAGTATCAGGGAAGTTAACCGTGGGAAATTTGCAATGAATCTTGGGACTGGAGAAGACAAAGGGTTACCGTCCAGGCAAAGCGAGGACAAGGAGTGTAGGTTCCGAAGCGAGTGATGAATAGGGCCTGAGAGAGAACAACCGGTCATGGTCAGCACTCGAAGATTTGGGAGTGAGGATGAAAAGACTCGGCCCCATTCCTTCCCAGCGGCAGACATGTCTACAAAGTCAAGATGCAGTTCTTCTAGCTTTGTGAGGTTCTGAAAGGACATGCTCCAGTTTGACTGATGAACTTTCAGCAAAGGAGATCGCGGAAAGACGATCAGCAACGTGGTCGTAAAATCAAGAGTAACCAAGTTTGTGAGGCGTGACAACTCGATCGGGATTTGCCCAACAAAACCAGAGTCTGCCAAATTCAGATGAGTCAAGCTGGTTAGATTACCAAAGCTCGACGGCATCGGAGTGCTGAAGTTGTTAAGAGAGAGATCCAGGGTCTTGAGGTATTGAAATTGGAAGAGACTGGAGTTGTCCGTCATTCCACCGATGATTGATTTGTCGCTGAGATCAAGACCAACAACACGTCCCTCTTCACAGCGTACGCCGTCCCAAGTGCAGCAATCCGTACTCCGATCCCATGGCCGCGGATCAAGATCGAATGTGAGGGTGTTGTTCAACTGGAGCAGCAAAGATCGCTCGTGGCTCAGACATGATTGGCCTGCGGCTGCTGCTTGCAAGCTGAGCAGTGGTAGTAATATTAATGTTGAGCATATATTGATCATCATCAAGAAATTACATAACCATGAAAAGGCTGGAGGAGTTCTTATCATTGGCGCAATTTTGGAAGGGAGAGAAACAAATACGTAATTCGTTGTTTGATCAGTTACCTATGATCTAGTGAGAATATACGTACATATGTGTATGGATTTAGATATATGCATTTAGTAGCCAAGACTGACAATTCTTCCTTGAATGCAACAAGTTAACCACTCGGAAAATGCGTTTGCAACAAGTTAAAAGACAATTGGCATCGGAAGCGATTTGACATTGTTTTCCAATTCAATGA